TCTGCTCCCACACAGAGAATTCTCTCCGCCCGCTTCCTTGGGCTCAGCCGGCTGCTCTGTGTTGCCGCCAGACATTGCTGATCTGCATAACCCCGCCCACTGATGTGTGACACCTTCCCTCGGTGTCTACTACTCTCCCTGCCTGCAACAGATGCTGTGGTCCCGCCCCCATTTGGAATGTAGGTGAGACAAGGACCCCTCCCATCTGTGCTCCTTGGCTCCACCCCAAGGGCTGTGGCCCCGCCCTGGCACTGGCTACTCACCAAGGATGGCCACATAGGTGGTGGGGGATATGGCCAGGTAGGCATGCCCTATGTCGGAGACCCACTTCATGCAGGTGTAATTGCCCCCGTGAGACAAGGTCGCCCCTTCAATCTGCTGAGAGGGGCCCCCGTGCAGGTCCTCGTAGTTGTGAATCCAGAAGTAGACCTGGTCCAGCGACCCGCTGTCCCCCACACATCTCAGCGTGAATGAGTCGCCCTCCCTGATCGGGTCTGGGACGTCCATGTCCACCAGGACCTTCAGGCGTGGGGGCCGGCCTGAAAAGGCCATTGGAGATGGGTCAGAACCAGCGCCCCCTAGAGGGGAAAGGCCCCGTGCCCCATTCCTTGCCCCTCTGAGCCAGCCAGTCCCGCACCCTGGGGCCGAATGGGAGCTGGCGCCCCTTAGAGGGGAAAGGTCCCATATCCCATTCCCCACCCCTAGCACCAGCCAGACCCCTGCCCTCAGACCTGATTAGAGACAGTGCCTGCTAGAGGGGAAAGGCCCTCTGACCCATTCCCTGCCCCCCAGCCAGCCCCTGCCCTGGGTCCTGATGGGAGCTGCCACCCCCTAGAAAGGAAAGGCCCCATACATAATGCAACTCACCTGTGGCTGGAGGCTGGGACCCTTTGGGGAGGCACCTATTCCGGTAGCTCTGCACCCGGCACTCCAGCGCCGCCCCCCGGTGCTGCCAGATGATGCGCATGCTCAGCCTATTGCTTTTGCCAGCTTCAGTTTCCTCCAGGATCCGCGCGCCGGCTCCGTCGTACCAATGCAGGCCGGAGGAGGCGCAGCGCTCGGAGATGGAGCAGACTACGTTGCCGCTCAGGAGACTGGAGGTCCTGGTCATGCCAGAATTGACCCTGCACTGATGTTCTGTGTAGGGTGGGTGAAGGGAGAGCCTGTCACTGCTGGGGGCACGGCCATGGGCACAGCCACCTCCAGTCACCAGCCACTGCCCCTTCTTTGAGAGCAGCCTCAAGACCAGGTGGGTGTGTGACCTGTACCAGGTTCCCCTCCCAGAGCTGGGAGAGAACCCAGGAGTCTTGACTCCCAGCCCCCCCCTGCTGTGATCACTAGTTCCCACTGTTGTACTTAAAGTACTGCACAGGATCTTTTCAGGGGGAATAAGACAAAATGCCACATTTATTAGTAATACATGTATTCATTAACACTGTATCATATGCATATAATATATTACACTTACACACACACAAACACACTCCGTCTTGTTGTTACCAATTAGTTGCTCCCCTTAACTTCACTGGCCAGGTGAGTTAGATGGGGGAGGGGGTGGAGCCGGGCTTCTGCCGATCCGGATCGATGCTCCCATGTTGACAAGACGAGACCCGGGGTCCTCTGCAAGACACCTCACTTTTATAGCAGCTTTTCTCTTATGCAAATCTATACCAGATTCAAACTCTGTGTCTGTGTCCATTGGTCCTTTGTGCTGCTCTCTTTTGAGTGTTGTTCCAATGCTGCAAAGAGGGTGTTTCCAAAAGAAGGTGCTTGCTTCTAACCCCCGAGGCCTTCGCTATGGCTGCTTGTCTTTAATGAGCCCACTTGACACGTTTTATTGTCCTTGGGTCTGGCTCCCAGCCCCTCTCCAACAGTTGAGGCTGTCTGGCGGTGCTGCCTTCCATGCCTTGCTCATCCACGCCTCATTCATTCAACAGGGCAATTGATTAAGAGTGGGGGGGGGGGGGAGAGCTCTTGTTCTACTGCTAGCAAAAAGAAAATTTTCTTCTATCTTATTCTATCCTTAGGGGCTATAATATTCTACCAAGGGCAATGCAAAGTTTCTAAATGAGGCTTTGATACAAAGTCCCATGAAAACAGAGGTCACACGTGGGTAGACCCACCACAAGGTTATATGAAGAGGCACAATATAAAGTCATATGAAAATTATCAGAGATTTATCTACATTGTCCCCCTTTTGACCTCTCAAGACAATTCTTACGTGGTCACCATATAAATCTTCTATATTTGTTGCAAACAAACCAAGCAATTCTATCCAG